AGAGCCACCAGAGAGGAGGGGACACGCTTGCTGCATTAGCAGCGGGGCAGACACTGCTCTGCCTTGCCCACCTCCCATTCCCCGAGGTGCAAGAACCACAGCTCTCTGTCTGGACACTTGCTGAAGGACTACATGTAGTTTAGCATCTGGATGGAGGAGGGATGGGTTCAGCAAAAAGCTCCAGTGCTGCCCACACCAGGATTTGGGGCAACAAGCTGAATGCCCTGCCTTTGCTGGGAGCCCCAGGGTGCTGCCAGGAGAGAGCTGGGGACCCCCCCAACATCTGCAGCCAGCTACCAAAGATGTCTCAGTCGTGGGTAGGCAGCTCCTCCCAAGCCCACAGGGTTTAACCCACAGGGAGGGCTCTCAGATGGGCATATGTAGCTGTGAGCCACTTCTTGGGGACACAGGGAGCACAGCTGGGACCTCCCCAGCCCCTCAGCCCTGACAGGGACAGGAGAAGCTCTGCAGGAGGTGGCCAGGCCCTTGCTTGGAGAGGAGCAGCCGCTGGCAAGCGGAGGGAGGGAGCAGAGCACACAGCAGAGAGGGGAGAGCAGGGGGAGGCAGAGCAGGGGATCAGGTGGGTGTAAAGTTGGATGAAAAGATGAAGACATTGAACATGAGAGAGAGAAAGAGAGCACCAGCCCACAGCCGCTGCTTTCGTTTCAAGCTCCGGTCTCTCCCTAGCTGCTGGCACGACTGTGGAGCGCGGATCCGAACACGGGCAGACGCCAGGACCCCTGCCTATGGAAACGTGCCAAATCTCTCCCTGCAAGGCAGGGGACCTGAGGCTTGCACGCTTGAACTCTCTGGCCAGCTTCTACTTACGTTCCTGTCCGCTGCTCTCCTGGGCCAGGTTCTCTTTGCTCTTGTAAAATGGAAACTTTCGAGAGAGGCGGAAACTCTTTTTACGTTTCGTTTTGATCGACTGAAGAACATGGAGATGGAAGGGAGGACAGAAAAAATAATGGTGTTTAACGCATGTGGGGAAAATTAAAATGAAGAGACAATGAGGAGCTGTGTCAGGGCAGTTACCCTCAAATGAAATCATGAAGATTACATGAAAACTGTAATGCAGGAAAAAATATTAAGCATGGAAAAAAACATGTGGTAAGAGATGCTGGGAAGCTGATGGGGCAATCAGCAGCTCTGCAGAGGTAGCCAGGCTGTTCTCCCTTTCTTGTCCGCTCACTAAGTGCTCTGCACGAGGGGTGAGGGCAGCTACCTTCACCTGAATGAGCTCCCTGCAGTCAGCTCCCAGCCACGGGCCATGGCAGGACAGGCTCTGCTCCTCCACTACATCAACCAGGGGTCCTTCCCCAGCGCTTTCACACCATCCTGGGCTCCTCTGCTCATCCCCTGCAGAGTCACGGAGGATTTGTGCCGAGGAGACGTGGCCTGGGGCAGGTCCAGTCACACTGCTGTCTGCTTTGGGATTGCTCCAGCTGCACTACTGGGAGCTCTGGCTGCTGGGACTCATCCTGCCCCCACTAGCTACCAGCTCCGGGCCACACAGAGCCCCAGCTCAGCACTTACCCTGTTGGACTCAATCATGCCAGTCCTGGCGTGGAACTTCACTGTTTTCAACCGCGCTCTCTCCTTCTTTTCCACCCTGATTGGAAGTTAAAGGGGAAAAAGAGCTGCTAGTCCTGTGCATGCACCCTCCGTGCCGCCCACTTGGCTCCCCAGGCAGCTCCCTGCACCCATGAGTGGTGGCCCCATTGGTGAAGGGCAGCTCCTTCCCAGAGAGGGTTGGAGGTGGATCTGCCTGCCTGGGGTCTGGCGAAGGCCAGCATCTGCATGAGCAGCAGAGGGGACAAGTCAGGCTTCCCAGGAGGGGAGGGATGGAGGGCAGAGGTGGGGCTGGCTCTGCAGACCTGAAGGCAGTGGCAGCCAGCTCCTCTGCTCCATGTGACCTCCCATCTCATGGGACCTGGCTTGCAGAGCTGGGCAGGTTGTCAGAGGACACAAGGAGCAGCTTATAGTCACTTCTGTGACTCTGCTCCCACTTGGAGCTCCAGAGTGGCCTACACCAGCCATCCCAATGGGGACCACAGAGAGGGCTGAGCGCTTCCCTCCTCACCCGGAGTCTCACCCAGTTTTGGAGAACATCTCCCCGGGGAGACCTGCACGCAGCCCCAGCTTGGAACCAGGGTGCCCTTCACGCTGCACAGCCATGGACTGGGAGGTGGGCTGGGATCACAAGGAGATCCCACCCTAAGCAGACCCTGAGGGCTGCAGGGGCTGCTGGAGACTGGGGAGCTCCAGGAGG